ATTAAAATAAATAAATAAGTGCCACCCCAGAGACCCAAACTGTGTGATTTAGAGGTTTCTCCCTCTCCTGAAGTGACCATTTTAAGAAATGCACGTCTCCTCAGCATTGTCTGGCCCAGGGAGAGTTCAATAGAAACCAGGTGTGCATTCATTTCCATCAAGAAACTTTAGCAGCGTCCATGTTTCACGGCCGCTGCCATCATGCGTTTTCAGAATGATTTGGACAGCCATCTGGTGGCCGTCCACATGAAGCTGTAAGATTCTTTGGCCTGCCGTCATGTTGCGTGCCGGCTAACAAATCCAATTTCAGTGCTGAGGGCATACACCGCAGGTTCTTCTCAGTGGTGGGTGCAGGAGATCTCTGAAACATGAGCTGCCGGAAAGACCATGTGGCTTTGAATCATAAAGCTCAACCCCCGTGAAGGGGTGAATTGAAAATACTCAAAAGAACGAGCTTGTTTTCAAGTTCAGCCTGAAAACCGAGGTAATGCTGCAGAACCCTATCTTTGGAAGTGTTATATTTCTTGAAGTGAACCTTTTGTGATCCCAGGTCTTCAGAGAATCAGTTCTGGCTACCCAAGCTCTTAACAGTTTGAACTCTGATCTATGATCTCATTTGTTGTGCTGGGGGGAAAAAATGCCTCATGGAACATTTCTATATTCCCCACAGTTGCAATGCCTGTAAAGAATCTTTGTCCAACAGAAGTGACACCTTGACCCTTCAACACGTGCGAAAGTGCAATACATCCTGAGATAGCTTTGAGTTTTTATTTAGGTTAGCAAATTAAGAATCTTTGCCATTTAACTCTCTTTTTTTATGGTAGTAAAGATGTAAATAACCTAGCTTAACAAACATGTTCTATTTGCAGCCCCAAGATCACATGATTATCATATAATTGACCAAGATCATTCAAAACCAGCACACAAATAAACAGCAATCAATAAACTCAACAAAGATGGTAAAACAGTTAAACTAGACTTACGGATGGTCCTCTTGGTCCCCGAGGTCCCTGTGGGCCTTGTTCTCCTGCTTCACCAACCTCTCCCTTTTATAAAAGAAGCATGCAGATAAAATCAATGATCGCTTGTAAATTAACAGAATGCAGATGCCATTTTACTTAGAGATCACACAGTTAATCTTTTCAAGTCCTTCTTACAGCACAATGACACCGCCTCAGTCAGGACAAATATTTGGCCCTAGGCTTTGTTAAACATAGATAACTAACAGCTTGTCATATGTCCGTGGTTTGCATGATGTTCTGAGTTTGGAAGCTGTACTTCCTATGGAGGACACCTTTTAGCAAAGCTTCCAGACCAAGATAAGACTATAAAGCAGAGGTTCTCAAACTGTGGGTTGCCACCCCTTAAGGGGTCGAACGACTCTTTGACAGAGGTTGCCTGATTCATAACAGTAGCAAAAGTACAGTAATGAAATAGCAACAAAAATAATTTTATGGTTGGGGGGTCACCACAACGAGGAACTGTATTAAAGGGTCGTGGCATTAGGAAGGTTGAGAACCACTGCTATAAAGGAAGATGGACTATAAAGTGATCTATTTCTGAAGACGTAGCTTATGGACAACTGGTACAGTACCGGTGATGCTTCCTTCTATCATATGTAAGGTCACTGTGAGTCAGAACAGGCTCGATGGCAACTAACTGCCCCACTCCAGTAACAAATACAGTAAAGATGTTGATGTTGAAAATGAACAAAACCAGGATGCAGCACCAGTTACATAATTTTACAGGATGATGGCTCTTCCTTGATGGGGGGGGGGGCAGTTAAGGAGTAGGGGTAAATCTATATTTGTATTTACCTATCCACTAACCTGTCTTTGTCTATGTACATGACTCTATGGATCAAGCTCTTTGATTTCTAAATGTCTGTGTATGTGTCTTTTCTTCTCTGTATCCATCTGTCCAGCTATAGCACAATGGCAGTCAATATCCTGACAAACCACATCAGAAACTCATCCAGGAAAAGACGACACAAGGAGAGGCTCATTCACAAAATCTGAGTGTCTCCTCCAACACTCAGTCAAGAAGAGTGTGCTCCTTGGGATTTACCTTCATTCCTGCTGACCCAGCTGCTCCTGTGGGGCCATCGGGCCCTTGGGTCCCAGGAGGCCCCTGAAACAAGACCACAGGTGCACAGTCACCATAGAGTTAAGTATCTGGATCTCTTTTCTGTTTTTAAGGTCTGGAATTGGTCATATTCTCAAGAATCACCTTGAAGATATAAGTCTAGACCGAAATGCTTAATAGAATCAATTAATTGCATCATCGAGCAACCCAACTCTATAATCTATACACTTCCACTCTGGGCAGAGAGGTGGCACTGGAAGAGTAAGGGGCTCTATGAAAGAGGTCACATCTACCTCCCACTGAGAATTGGAGGAATTAGCTAGCTACTAGAGGAGAAAACCTAATTTAACTAAGAGATTGGGAAATCAAAAACCTAGACCTTTTATCTGCTTTAAAAAAAATGTTTGAAATAAAAATAGAAAGAGCACAGTGATTATGAGGCAGGATGGTTTCCAAACCAAAGGAGAATGAGAACAGAACTATGTTTGGGGGCAAGCTCGGAGTTGCTAGTTTAGATCCAGCAGATTCTTGATTCAGATCTGCAGTTTAGATTAAGCTATCTCGCTTGGGTCTGAGCCGGCCAGTAGCCATAAGCAGCTGGGTTGCAGCTGTCTGCTCTGCGGACTTTTCAAACCTACCTGTGCACCCCGTAAGCCTTTTTGTCCAATAAATCCTGGTGTCCCCTGCCTTCCTCTTGGTCCCTGATGCAAAGATGAAATGAAATGAACATTCAACAAATTTTTATAAAGCTCTTTATATTTCAGGCAAGTGCAAGGTCATCTTCAATGCCATTGGAAGCCCCAATGAGTGGAGGTGCTGTGGCCCACCTCTCCCCTATTAACCAAACTCGAGTCAGGTGGCATGAGCACTCTGACACACGTCCCCATCCTCACCCCACACTCACTAAAACTGACTCACAGGTGTGGGGCCCTCAGCATCTGGATTCTTAAGTAATCCCCAAGTGAATCTGATGCACGTGGAACTCTGAAAACATTGCTTCTCTATTTTAATTTACTCAAGTCAGTTTAGATCCTAAAATGGGATCAGAGGCACTGCTGGGATATTGATTTCCTTTCACAAGAAGGATTAATTTCCTTACACATCCAGGCTAAAGACAAGAGAGAGTGTTTACGATTGTATCAGGAATCAAAAGTAATTTGAGAGGACTGGTCTCCATGGATGCGATGCTAGATAGTTTCTGACTTTCTCTCCAATCCCTTTATTTTACTGATTTTTGTCACTTAAAATGGTCTCCAACTTTTCTGAGAAAGGTTTTCCTACTAGAAGCATTGATCACAGCATCAATTCTCCCAGGTAAGGTATTGACCATCATCTGTTTACATAGGTTATCATGTTCACAGCCCATTGGGAAGGTAAGTGTTGAAGAGAAGTTTAGTCAATTATTTTGCCCATGGTTCTCAGCATGATGTGTCCCCTTTCTCCCCAGCATGTTATAAAGGGGTAAAGAGGAAAAGGCAGACACACAGTAAGGGGGTCAGGGGGTACCTAAATTTGAGTAAAGCCAAAGATCAATAATAATTAGGAGAGATATACCTCTATGTATGCATATACTGAAATATTTGTTTCCCCCCTACATTCAGATGCTATTTTCTATCATTAAGAACTATAATCTCTAATTATACCCCGATATTTCATCTCTTTCCATAGTGCCTTCATCAAGTCTAAAGACTGCATGAGATTCTCAAATTATCCTTGGACAATCATGGGATGTTGAATGTCATGGAGGATGATTCCATGTGTTAGTAAACTTTGTTTTCAAGTGCTTCCATTTCGCTGACTCCAGAAACTGTGATTAAGCAAGAACCAGAGATGGGGAAAGAGAGACATCAGTCATCTGATGATTGCCCAGGAGCAGAAGGTCAAAAGAGATTTTCAAACAAAAAACCTTCCTCTGTAGTGAACAGAGAGAGCAAGCCTTCCCCAAGATCAGCACCCTCAATTCAGACTTCTGGCCTCCCAACTGCTGGATAGGTCTGGTCTCACAGTCCAAGTATTGGAGCCTCTTTCTTCCAACCTGGGAGCCCATCAAAGCCTGACTGAGCTCTCTGGCCAACAGTGCCCTGGGGAATTCTGCTGTCTGACTGCTGTGTGAGATGTTGAGTCATCTTGGCTGCAAAGCTTGAGTCTTCAGTTTATTTGAAATGACGCTGAATAAAAGGAACCGCAGAGCATCAGCAGCGGCGCTTCATGTGAAGAAACCTGACTGAGACATCAGCCGCTGAGTGGCCAGGTCTGCTGGTTCCTTTCCTGAAGGCTGAACAGAGAAAGACGGAAGGTGGTCTGCTCATCACCCCGGGACCCACTATTGTGACCCATAATGACAACTAGCCAGCTGTCATCACCTCCAACCCAACGGAGGAAGACCCCGGTGTGTCAGAGTTCAACTCTGACCCCCAGGCTGGTCAACGACTGATTTGCCAGAAGTAGCTTTCTTCCAAGGTACCGCTGGGTGGCCTTGAGTTGCCAAGCTTTCCGTTAGCAGCCAAGCATAGGGATTTTCTGACCCATCCAGGGAATCAGATCCATAATGATAAAAATCAAGACAAAGAAATAAAATTCTTCAATTTGGAAAAAAAAAGAGGTGACTTTTCAAAGAAAGACATAGAAATTGTTCCAGCCGAATTTAAAGAACAACAGATTTGAGGTATTTTTGGAGGATTCTAAAAGAATTCAGTCTAAGTTTAAATTTCAGCAGTTCCTGAATACTTGGCAACCCTAACTAGACTGAATTCCTAAAGGGCAAAACCCCTGCGTTTGATGGTCTGCGTTTCCCTGACTCAGCAAAGGGTCCTCTGCATAGCGGAGACTCGATGGAAGGTGAGAGCTGGTGATTGTTCCTGCCAACGAGAGTACAACCCTAGTGCATTAAATACCCCTTGAGTAATTTGAATATATAACATCAGAGGCAGTAATTACGATCCTGGACTTTATAGGTAGACTGCCCAAGTTTGAATATCAACTTTCTCTCTTATTAGCCATGTGACCTTCAACAGTTTCATGAACGTCTCTGTCTCTCCATTGCCCCCCTGTCAAATGAGGATGATAAAATCTCCTTTCTCATAGAACTTGTAATGATTAAAGGAGTTAATACAAGGAAAGACACAGTGAAAGTTTAATCAATATTAGCTGTTAGGTTTATATTTGCCCAGAATGGAAACTATGTACTGTTTGCTTCAGGAGGCTCTGGAAGGGAAGTATCCAAACCACTTTGATATACATGCAATCTCTACACAGTATCACCTTTAAGAATCTAAGCTAAAATGTCCAGCAAAAATCCTTTAAAACCAAATTCACCAATACTACCTGCTGGCCTGGATACCCGAGTTCCCCTTGGTAGCCCTGTTCACCCGATTGTCCATGCACACCCTGTCAAAACGAATAAATCCTGGTTACTTCTCGAGATACCTCTAGGAAGTGCTGCCTTCCAAGGGTGTCACTTGGAAGATCCAAGAGAAAGACTCAAAAAATATTTGATAGGCTGTGCGTCATCGTTTTAGGAGCTGGAGTTGGATAGGAAGTGGGAGATTTCCATTATGTTGGCAAAAAAAATCATATCATCGTGAATGAGGGGAGCGCGTGATGGGGACCCACTGCCCATCTGTAGACAACTGGACATCCCTTGCAGAGGGGTAGTGGGGAGCAGATGAGTCACTCAGGGTTC